AGAGCTAGGGATTTTGAACATTTCTTCATGTGCTTGTTAGCCATCTGAATGTCTTCTTTGGTGAAGTGTCTGTTCATATCCTGTGCCCATTTTTCAATTGTGTTGTTTACTTTTATCTTGTTGTTGTATGAATTTTTTTTTTAAAATGAGCTTTTAAAAAGTGAGCTGAGGGAGGGAGAAAGGCGGGGTGTAAAAGGGGCAACAATGAATGAATGAAAATCTAACTTCTCTATAAATGTTTGTTAAAATCACAATTAAAATTTTATTTGAAAAAAATAAATACATAGACAGTGAAATTAAAGTTGACCTCTAATAAGGCAATGAAATAGGAAAAGAAAATATTTCTAGATAATCAGAAATGCAGGAAATTTGTGAAAAGTAGTATTATAACAAATATTAAAGGAAGTTCTTTGGACTGAGATCCAACAATGATAGACAGCGATCTGAAATTAACATCCATGACAACATCATTCAGAAAACCAATGCAGACACAGGATACACAATAAAGCATAATAAACACAGGAGACTGAAAATGAAAAATAAGTATTAATTCACAAATTATCATAATTACAGAGCAAACAGAGGAAATAAGTATATTTACATAACTTCTGACTGGAGAGAAGTCAAGGATATTTCAAAATCAAGTGAACTGTTTTAGACTTCGGAATATAATAGTAACTTAGAAAGGAATTTCCAAGAAAATGAGTAAAACTTCACATAAAAATTAAAAGAGGAAAATATTAAAAACTTAGAAAACACTAAAACAACCACATTGAGAAAATGACAGGAAAAGTCATTCAGTATAGAAAAGTAGGTGGAAGAAGAAAATTAGCAATATTACAAAAATGAGTGCAGCATGAAATACTGCATAACATGGTTGCATATAGAAAACAATATGCTAAGTAATATAAACCAGTCACAAATGAAATATTACAGTATAAGATCACTAGTATAAAAAGTTAAGGAAAGTTCACATGCAGAAAAGTGTGTTGGGTGTGTGTGTGTAATAAAAGATTATTTCTCCAGCAGACTAATGGACCATGAACTTCAGTGTCCATGACCCTGAGACCAGAACTAGATGGTGCCCAGCTACCACTGCTGACCCCTCTGAAAGGAAACACAGTAAAAGTTCCCTGAAAGAGTGAGGGGAAATGCAGGCCAAAACTCAGTCAGTTTTTTAAAGACCAAGTTTGTTAGGGAGCTCTGGTGGTTTAGTGGTAAGGAATTGTGCTGCCAGCACAAAGGTATGCAGTTCATATTCACCAACTTGTTCCACGAAAGAAATACGGCTTCTCTCCTCCCGTGCGATTTACTGTCTTTGCAAACTCATTGAAACATCAGCTATGGGTTGGTTCTGACTCAGGGGTACTCAACAAGCTTACCCCCAAAACTATGTTCCTTAGTCACCCTTCAAGCCTGCAAATGAACTTTCATGGCTCAACTTTCAACTAAACAAAAAACCTGTAAGGCAGACAACAGTGCCTGAGAAGAAAGTGCTCCTTAGGAAAATCAATCAAACAACTTCAAAAGGACAGCCTCTACCCAGAGTGAAAACCCAGAAGTCAGAAACAGGAAGGAAAGAAGGTTGAATGGCAATGGGAGACACAGAAAGGAAGTGAGAACAGTGCTGCTACAATGTAGAGGTTGTATTGGACGCCACAAAGCATCAAGGGTTTGAATTGTTGAATGGCAAACCAATTTGCTGTGTAAACTTAAATCACACAAAAAAATATTTAAGATAATGTGCATTAAAATACAGTAAATGTATCTTTTATGACATATGCCTTTTAGACACAAGGGTAAGGAGACCTGGTGGCACAGTGATTAAAAGTACTTAGATGTCAACAAAAAGATAAGCCGCTTGAATCCATAAACTGTTCTGTAGGGAAAAGATGTGGTAATCTGCTTCTATAAAGATTTACAGTTTTGAACCCATTTTGGCAGTTTTACTCTGTCCATGGATTTCTTAGTGGTAGAGAATTGCACTACCAAACGCATGCAGATCAAATCCTCCAGCTGCTCTGTGAAAGAAAGATAGCAGTCTTGTTCTGTGAAAACCCGCTAAAAGGTCAAATATAAGTCTGTTCCAAATCAATTGTACACAACAACAACAACCCCTATAGAGTTGCTATGAGGTTGGATCAACTCATGACAGTGAGTTTTGTTTTCTGTTTAGAAATTAGATACAAGAGAAGAAAGCTAGAGGAGTTTTCCCTCACACTCACACTGTAAGATTTGCCCATAGAAGTCCTAGAGAGGTTTCGTTCTCTGATGTGGGAGGACAAGGCATGGCGACAGGCTTTGGTAATGGAGGTGTTCTACAGGTGGTAAGCTATGCATGAGTGAGGGTGGCAGGAGTGGTTCCTACAGTATAAAGTGTGATTTGGAGAGTATGTTAGATTGTGACATGTGTGAAGAGATATAGCTAGTATGTGTGAATCAGGCCTCTTAGTGCATGCCATGTCTCTCTCCAGAACCCTTTAGATGAATCAAGGAAGGAACCAGTTGTGTTGAGTGACCGTTCCCAGATATTGTTCAAGGAGTCACGTCATCCTCAGAACATGCCACTAATATGCTATTACTTCAGTGATGCTAACTTTTTTGCTTCCCTTTCTTGGGTGTCATCAAACACAAAAGAAATACAGGTAAGACTGCCTAGCCTTTCTCCCTGTTCCTTGCCCATCCTCCCAGGGCCATGATCTCACTGCAGACGGGCAAGGGAAACAGAGTCCTTGAATTTATATCCTTGAATGATAATGACCTGGATCCAGAGTTCTTTCCTCACTCTTTCTCCATTTAGTTTCCATATTTAGTAGACTTTATGGTCTAGACTAATGGGCTAAGGTTAGAGAAAAAGTGTTGGGATTCTTGTTTCTGTAATGTTTCCATCTTCCATTGCAGAGGGTAAAATCATCCTGTTACTGTGTACCATCAAGTCAGAACGGACCTATAGCTGACCCTCCTTCAGATTTTCAGAAGCAGTAAATAATATAGAGAAGATTGCTCATGTTTTCCCCAAGGATTCAAATTGCATACCTTTGCGTTGGCAATGTAGCTCCTTCCCACTAAGCCACCAGAGGGCCCTAAAATCACCCCCAGAGTATTCAATACCTCTTTAGAAGCAGTAGAAAAAAGTAGTTGAATATTTTGCTCTTTCTTCCTCTACTGTCCTTTATAGGCAATTTCCATCTTATTCTCTTGTAGGCTGTAGTATGGATAATGAGCAAAGGTGAAGACTTGGTTGAGAAGAAAGTATTCACCATGGCAGAACGACTGCCGCCCATTCAGTCCATGGTCCACACGGGTTCCTTTCACCTCCTTATTGTCTACTGTGGAGACTTGTATTTGCGCCTCTTTGGAGATCACTTCCGGGCATTCAAACCCCTAAGCATAGTGCCCTGCCGTTTCAACATCAGCTGCCTCTGCTATGATCCAGAAATGAAGATGCTTTTATCAGGCATTCTGGGAGCAGTGATCACATGGATCATTGAGCGAAGTGGCAAGGGCCTCCAAATAGCCTACACAGTTTCCATGCCTGGTGAGGAGCTGGTCCAGGACATCGTGCTGAATGGCCCTGACGGCTCTCTCTTAGCCCTGTGTGAGACTGTTGTGAGAGTCCTCGAGCGTCAAGGCCTGGGCTCTCTGGCAGAAGTGAAACGGTTCACATCCACCAGCAGTGGCTCCTCTATCACCTGCTGCTTCACCTGTTTTGATCAAAACCTCTTCTATGCAGGGAACAAAGCTGGGGACATTCAAGCATGGAATCTCAGTCGGACCTCCTACCTGCACAGTTTCAAAGCCCATTCCTTGTCAGTGGTCTGCATTCGCAGCCGGCCAGAGGCTCACATCCTGCTGACAGCGGGCAGTGAAGGCTTTATCAAAGAGTGGAATCTTACTTCAGGGAACTTGCTGCGGCGGCTCGAACTTGGTGAAAGCTTGCATCGGCTTCAGTTTATTGACAGCATCACTTTCTTCTGCCAAACCACCCATAGTTTTTCCTTACGCCGCCTGCCCTATTTCTACAGCCTCTTCAATGTCTGTGGTTCTATTCCTCTCCAGGTACGCCGGGTTTACTGTGGAGACAACTGGTACAGGATCTTATGCACAACCGAGGACGGCTTGTTGCATTTTGTGTCACCACAAACAGGGGACCTCTTAGTTCTCACCTGGCCCTTCTCAATCCTGGATCAGGCTGTGGATTGGGCCTATAACCCAGTTGGAGAGGAACTCTTTGTGGCCACAGGAACCTCAGAGGTGCTAGTATTTGATACAACCCGCTGCCCATGCCCAGCCAAATATATCTTGTGCACCTCACCAAATTCTCTGGACATAGTCCAATGCCTAGCTTATGGGCATTTCCATCTAGGTCGGGGCCTTAAAGGGCTAATGTTCTCCGGGCACCAGAGTGGTGTGATAAGAGTACTTTCTCAACACAGTTGTGCCCGTATAGAGAAATTCTTGCACTTTGGGGCTGTATTGGCACTTTCTACACTGTCAAGAGGGTCCTCTGGTGACCGAGAAAGCTCTTTGCTCTGTTCCTATGGAATGGATGACTATGTACACCTCTCAGAGGCTGTACTTATGGGGACTAGAGTACACTTGAAACTTCTTGCCAGTATTCTTAGTAGCTGTCACTTAAATCACCTGATCCTCTTGCCCAAATCTGTGGGTGCCATCACAGAGACTAACTGCCTACATCTTTGGAAGTTCCAGGATGTCCTATCCACTGAGTCACACAAAGGCTCTAAGTTCATGGAAACATTGCCTCTGCACCAGTGTACCATAACATCCTTTGATGTCTGTCTGTCTTTGAATCTTTTTGTCACTGGTGGTAGCGATGGTTCAGTCAGAATCTGGGACTTCCATGGTAGGCTCATAGCCATGCTGGACTCATCATTGCATTTTGGCCCACTCTGCTTTGCAAATGACCGGGGTGACTTGCTTGTCACTTTCAACCAGAGTCTGTATTTGGTGTCCTGTTTAAAACTGCTTCCTCCAAACTTACTTGTTCGCCTGTCCTTCATGAGCATAACAGATGAAATAATAGAAGTTCCTAAACCTTTCATGCCAAGCTTCTTCTTCTCCTTTGAGACCTTGTTTGTGCCCAAGTATCTCTACTTTGGACAAGGGCAACAAGAATTAATGGGTCTAGAAAAACTTACCAACAAGCGAGCCATTGCCTTTGACCACTCTGTGCCACATGTTATAGAAGAAGAAGAAGAAGGGGACATCGTATTGCTGGCTACCCGCAAATATGATTCTTTGACTTTGGTGGAAACTGATTTGATGCAAGCAAGAGACCAAGATCACAAACCTCATTACACAGTACCTCCCCAGCTACAGTTTACTGGCTGGGAAGGACTCATCCCCTACCAGATATTGCAATATTACTTTGGTCAGGACAGGAAATGGCTCTGTGCCCCTGATGGCTACATCCCCAATTCAGTAATCCGTGCTCGTCTTTGGCCAGAGGGCAGCCCAATATATCTACAGTGCAGCCTACACCCACCCCAGCGAGAATTGGAATGGGACAAAAGTCAGCAGTTCTTTTTCTGGCACAGTAGGTCACGAGCTATAAGGGATTTGGAGCATCATCCACAAGAGAAGGAGGATGAAAGCTTCATAGAAATGAGAATGTCCAACGACCTAACTTACAATGTCCTTACTGAAACAGCCATCCGCAGCTGGCTGGGCAGAAAGATGAGTGACATTACTATTAATAGTCTGATAGAGACAATCCTCAATATTATGATCCATGCTCCTCCACTGAAATTCCAGTACTGCATTGGTGCGCTAGGACAAATCTTTGCCTCTTACCAAGTGTCTCCTTCCTTGCGCTCTGAGACAGCCCGTCGACTTCTGGATGATACAGCTAACTCCAATCCCCAGATTCGAGAACTAGCCTGGGAAGGGCTGAAGCGCCTAGGAATGATTACTCATCTCTTTGCTGTGCCTCTAGCCCAAGGATTAATGGACAAGGATCAAAGGGTGAGGAATAAGGTCTTGAACCTTATGACTGATACTGGAATCCACTCAAAGAACTCACTCTTATGCTTGATCCAGAACCGAGAAACTTTCCAGGAGATGCAGTAAGTTGCTTGGGCTTTTGTTGGTTCTTTAGAAACTTCTGGGTTTTTCCCCCCTTCTCTTTACCCATTTGTTCCCTGTCCCTTCCCTTGCTATCTCTTCATTCTTGTTTATTAACCCTTCCTGCTCTTTTAAATTTTTTCATTACTTTCCCCATCCCTAGATTGTCCTATGATTTCGCTGACTTTTCACCCTCCTCCATTTCCTCTCTTGTTCCTGTCTGCTCTCCACCTCTTCAAATTCCTCTTTGAATCCCTTTTCACTGATCCTTGCAGCACACAACAGATAACTCCATCTCTTACCATTTTTTAAAAATAAAATTTCTATTTTATACCTATTTAGTTACAAAGTTTGTATACATAGTTTTCCACACTGGATCTTTCCCATTTCCTTTACCCATTCCTCCCTCTACTCATCAAATTGTGTGAGCCTATGGTTACCACTCTTCCCCCCCACCCCAAAACCGATCCTCACCTCTCGGCTCCCTCCTTCCCCCATTAGATCCTCATACACATTTTACTAGTTACCTATTTCTACAGTAATGTCATCTGCAGTATGTGTCTTTATGTAACTGAGTTAGTTCACTTAACATAATGCTGTCCACGCCTGCCCAATTTAGGTAGTAATTTTCAAAATCATTGCTCCTACTTGCTGCATAATATTCTCAGGTAAATGTAACATAATTTCTAAATCCATCCGACTGTGGTTGGACAGTTAAGCTGTTTCCATGTCCTTGCAATGGTTGATAGCACTGCTTATGTACATTGGTGTACAAATCTCCATTTGTGCCTCAGTTCTACTTTTCTCAGGGTATATTCCAAGCAGTGGAATAGCTGGGTCATATGAAATTTCTATGTTCAGCTTTTGAGGAAACACCAATCTGCCTTCCAGAGTGGTTGTACCATTTTACAGTCCCACCAGCAGTGCAGAGGAGTTCCTATCTCACCATATTGTCTCCAACATTTATTACTTGCTGTCCTGTTAAACTTTGCCACTGCTGTTGGGGTGAGATGATATCTCACTGTGGTATTGATTTGCATCTCTCTTATTGCCAGTGATTTTGAGCATTTCTTCTGTTGGCCATCTGAATATCTTCCACTGTGAAAAGATTTTCCATGTTTTTTGCCCATTTTCTAATTGTGTGATCAGTCTTTTTCTTGTAGAGGTCCTGTAGGATTTTGTATACTGTTGATATGAGACAATTTTCTGAAATGGAATTGCCAAATGTTTTTCCCCCCAGTCAGTAGGGGTTTTTTTTTCTCGTCTGTTGGAAATGGTTTTGATGCACACAGGGATTTAATCTTTAGAAGATCCCATTCATCAATTTTTTCCTCTCCAGATTGTGCATTTCTGGATGTATTTGGCAGTCTCTTTATACCATAGAGTAGGCAATCTAAGCTTGATCCCAGTTTGTCTCTGATGAACTTGATATTTTCAGGCTTTATTCCTAGGTTTCTGATTCACATTCAGTTGATTTTTTTGTGTATAGTGTGAGATGTGGATCCTGTTTTAGCTTTCTGCAAGTAACAGTCCAATTTTCCCAGCACCATTTGTTGAAAAGGTTGTCCTTTCCCCATTTGATATGTTCTTGATTTGATTATTTCCTTATTGAATATCAGTTGACTGAAGATCAATAGACCAAAGATAGTTCCACTTCTGGATTCTCAGTTCTGTTCTGTTGATTTGTGTGCCTGTTGTTTTACTAGTACCATGCTGTTTTGATTACTACCACTGTATAGTAGGTTTTGAGGTCAGGGAATATTATGGCTCCCATTTCATTTTTTTCCTTCAGAAGTGCTTTGCTTATTTGGGGTCTCTTTCTTCTCCAAATAAATGTGACAATTTCCCTTTCTATCTTCTTAAAAAATTAATTTGGTATCTCTATTGGGATTGCATTGAACATGTTGATTGATTTTCGTAAGATTGTAATTTTCACAATATTGAGTCTTTGTATCCATGAACAAATTGCACTGGGAAAATCTGCTGTCAGGGACCTCTCCAGAGTACTGAAGAGCAATGTTGTCAGTTTGGACACTAAAGTGCACCTGATCTGGACCATGGTCTTTGCAGTTATTTGCTATGCATCAGAAAGCTAGACAATGACTAGGAGTGATAGAAAGAGAATTGATGTCTTTGAGATGTGGTGCTGGAGAAGAGTATTGAACATACTCTGGACCACTAAGAGAACAAACAGGTTCACCCTGGAGAGGGTGAAACCAGGCTGCTCCTTGGCAGCAAGGATTCTGAAACTTCATCTGACATACTTTGGGCACATTGCAATGAGGAACCAGTCCTTGGAGAGAGGGACATCATATTTAGGAGGGTGTGGAGGGACAGTGCAAGAAAGGAAGACTCACAATGTGATTGATTGACTCAATGACTGGAGTGACAGGGGTAGGTGTGTATCAGAGATGATAAGGTTGGCTCAGGATAAAGCAGGGTTCAGAACTGTTGTACGTAAGGTCGCTATGACTCGCAAGTGACTTGACAGTAAACAGCAATAACAACAACATCCATAAACGGGGAACATTTTTCCATTTATTTAGGTCTTTTATTGTGTCTTGCAGGAATGTCCTGTAGTTTTCTTTGTACAGGTCTTTTGTTTCTCTAGTTAGATTCACCCATGCGTAACTCAATTTGTGGTTGCCTATTGTAAATGGGTCTAGAGACTAAAGTGTGCCTAATCCAGGCCATGGTCTTCTCAATCATTTGCTAATCATCAGAGAGCTAAACAATGACTAAGGATGACAAGAAGAATGGATGTCTTCGAATTGTAGTGCCGGAGAAGAGTCTTGAACAAACCATGGACTGCCAAGAAAACAAATAGATCTGTCTTGGAGAGGGTGAAACCACATTTTTTCCTGGAGGCTAGGACTTTGAAGCTCCTTCGGGCCCATGGCCAGTAGGGACTGGTCCTTGGAGAAAGACATCATACTTAGAAGGGTGAAGAGACAGTGTAGGAGAGGAAGACCCTGGATTAGATGCATTGGTACAGTAACTGAGGCAATGGTGGTTCTTCTGTCAGAATTAGTGAGATTTATTCAAGACAGGACACGGTTCGGAGTTGCTGTATATAGGGTCACAGGCGACTTGATGGCACATAACAATAACAGCAACAGCTTTCTTGGTTGCCTTCTTTGAGTTCTCTTTGTTACTGTAGAAGAATCCCACTGAGTTTTGGATAATGATTTATATCCTGCCACTCTACTAAATTGGTTATTAGCTCTAACAGGTTTTTTTTGTTGTTGTTGTGGAATCCTTGGGGTTTTGTGTATACAGTATCATATCATCTGCACATAGCGACAGTTTAACATACTCTTTGCCAATCTGGATGCCTTTTATTTCCTTTTCTTGTTGTATTGTCCTAGCAAGTACTTCCAATACAATACTTAATAGAAGTTGTGACAGTGGGACCTTCCTTGCCTTGTCCCTGTTCTCAAAGAAAATGCTTTTAGTCTTTCTTCATTGAGAATGATATTGGCTCTTGGTTTGGCATGTACACTATCCACTATGTTGTGGAAATTCCCTTTTATTCCAATTTTGCTGAGTGTCTTTATCAGGAAGGGGGTGTTAAATTTTGTCAAATGCCTTTTCTGCATCAATTGCTAAGATCATATGGTTCTTGTTATTTGCTTTGTTAATGTGGTGAGTTATGCTAATTGTTTTTCTTATACTGAACCATCCTTGCATACTGTTATGAATCCCACTTGGCCATGATGAATTATTTTTTTTATTCTATAGGCTAGGATTTTGTTAAGGATTTTTGCATCTATATTCATGAGATATTGGTCTGTAGTTTTCTTTCTTAGTAATATCTTTGCCAGGTTTTGGTATTAGAGTTATGCTTGTTTTATAGAGTGTCTCTAGGAGTGTTCCTTTTTTAAATTTTTTTTTTAATTAAGTAGACTTGGTGATAGATATCTGAATGTTTGGTAGAAAGCCATCTGGCCCAGGACTTTTCTTATGGGAAGTTTTTTTATGACCTGTTCAATTTCTTCTTTTGTGATAGGTCTGTTCAAGTGGTCTATATCTGTCCAGGTCAATCTGGGTTGAGCATGAGTATCAAGGAATTTGTCCATTTCCTCTAGGTTTTCAGATTTATCAGAGTATAGCTTTTCATAGTATTCCAATATTGTCAGTTCAATTTAATCTGGTTCTGTTGTGATGTCACCTCTATTATTTCTTAATAGAATTACCTTTATCTTCTCTTCCCCCTCCCCCTTTTATTAAGTTTGCCAGTGGATTGTCAATTTTATTGACCCTTTCAAAAAACCAATTCCTGGTCTTATTGATAGTTTCAACTGTCTTTCTGTTCTCTATCTCATTGATTGTAACTCTTGTCCTTATAACATCGTTTCTTCTAGAGGCTGTAGGATAAGATTGTTGTTCTTTTTGTAATTGATGAAGGTGCTGAGTTCAATAATTTTTTTTCTTTTTCCCTTTGCATCTCAAAGGTTTTGGTATTTATTTTCATTTGTTTCAAGGAACTTTTTAATTTTATTCTTTATTTCCTTTATAACCCAATCTTGTTCTAGCAGAGAGTTATTTAGCTTGCATGTATATGGTTTTATAAGCTTTACCTTTCTGTGGTTAATTTCTAGTTTTATGACATTGTGATCTTAGAAGATATTTTGTCAATGAATGAATGAAAACCCAAAATCTCTGTAAATGTTCATTAAAATTAATAAAATGTAATAATAATAATAATAAAGATACTTTGTATTATTTCAATGTTTTTTAATTTGTTGAGGCTTGCTTTTTGTCCTAATATATGGTCAATTCTGGAGAATGTAACATGTACACTAGAGAAGAAGAAAGTGAATTTAGTTGGGTGCAGTACCCTGAAAGATCCACAGGGTCAAGTTGGTCGATTGTATAGTTTAGATCTTCTGCATCTTTGATAAGTTTCTTTTGAGTTGACCTATCCTTTGGTGATAGTGGTGTGTTGAAGTCTCCTACCATTACTGTAGTGCTATCTGTTTTGTTTCTTCAAGACTGGTAACATTTTTGTTAATGTATTTTGCAGGTATATCATTTAGTGCATAAATGTTGACCAAGGTTATGTCTTCTTGATCTATTGTGCCTTTAATCAGTATATAATTCCTTTCTTTATCTTCTATGGTGCTTTTCATTCTGAATTCTATTTTATCAGAGATTAGTATTGCCACTCCTGCTTTTATTGGTTGCCATTTGCTTAGTATATTTTTTTCCATACTTTGATTTTGAGTTTGTCTTTATCTTAATTTTTTAAGATGTGTCTTGTTTGGCAATATATTGATGGGCTTTGGTTTTTTTATCATTGCCATTTTAATTCCCAGTTTTCTTTGTCTCTGTTGATTATCTTTCACCTCTACATACACTGTCCCTTCTGGCCACTGTGGTGAAGTTCATTGCCTGTTCAAAACAGTCCAATCCTTCTCATGTTATTGTTGTTGTATACCACCATGTTGGAATCAACCCATATCTGACGCTCCAGCAAGTTTTTAGTGGTACTTAATTGCATGGGAGGAGATTGCCTATCTTTCTCCTGTGGAACAGCTAGTAAATTTGAACTGTATGCCTTCAGGTTTGCAGTGCAGCAACTTACCATGGGATCACTCCCTCTTAATTCTGATTCAGCATGGTACTTTGTCTCCTTTGACTTTTACAGGCAAGAGGTTATTGGAGAGGAGACTCTGGACCGTCTGCTGGGGATGCAGGCAACAGATCTTCAAATCCTTTATACTAAGGTGGTACAGCGACTGAATGAGAACTTAACCTTGTTACAAGAAGATGAAAAGCCTGCTCTTTCTTTGCATGTTTCAAAACTTTCTGACTCCAAGTCTTATGATAGTCAAGGTAGCACAATTCCTGAAGAATCTTATGTCATCACCAAGCCCAGCAAAGGCCATAAACGGGGTCGAACAGGAGGCAAAAGGCACAGTATGTATGGGGTGATATGATTATGCTTCAGGGGGGCCAAGATGATGAGGTGGTTAGGGCTTAGATAGGTCAAAAGATACAAGGTTAAAATAGAGATAACTGGAAAGAATTTTACAGATAAGACATTTTCTAGGAAGGTTCTACCCAAACCCAAGCAGACTATGAAACCTGTCTTTTTTAGAACTTGGTCATTCACTCACTCATTGCCATAGTCAGAACCAACATATAGCTGACCCTCCAGTGGGTTTTCAGAGGCTGTAAATTTCATGGAAGGAGACTGTTTATCTTTCTGTCATGGAACAGCTGGTAGATTTGAACTGCCTGCCTTTGGGTTGGCATTGCAACTCTTTATTCTCTAGGCCACCAGAACTCTCTCAAATGAAGAGTAAGTAGTGTATTATGTATAACACCCAGAGAGACAGAGAC